AACATGGATCGGAAAGGGGGCAAAAAAGTAAATTACACATACCTAATTAGTATATTTAAAACATTAAATTTATAATTATAAAGTTAGGAGAGGCCCGTAGAGCAACGACTATGGGGAACACGCGAAGAGAAATATTGATAAGAAGTATCATAGGGAAAACTTAAAAACGAATAATATAATTGTAATTGTAACTGCCAAAATTAGGAACGGGAAATAATGAAATTAGATAGAAAAGGATTTAATAAGGGAATAAAATTTAACTAAGAAAATGGTTTAACACTAAATCAAAATATTTTTTAAAAGAAATCATTTGACCTTAAATCAAAGTGAGGAGGGTACGTGTGTGATTGAGATTGATCGAAGTATTTATGAACACTATCATGTGGTTTGACTTTGCTTATTTGTATCACATTGTCATTGTGTGTGATTTGACATATTGTATCGATTGCTCTTATTGATAAAGGTTAAAATGATATCGTATGATGAAACATAAAAAAAATATATGTCCATACATAAATATTAATGATAAATCGTAATTGTATTAACTCATGGTTTTGTACTGTATCACATTATATCATATTATTTTGTTATTGATTGCACTGGAAAGCGTAATCAGAGACTTACATGAGAAATGAAGTATCGTATAGCATCGTAGAGAATCAACATAGTTAATTAACAATGGAGATAATTAGGTGTGTTGATAAAAGAACAATGAATAATCATTTATAACTATGGATAACTGATTGATTAATGATCCATCCGATTTAAAAAGTTTAGAAACATGAGTATGCAAGTGATAATTAAGAGTTTTAGGAAAAAAAAAAGAATTTGTATATACGCAACTAACTTTATAGATAAAGTATATTTATTCTTCTAGTTCATCTTAATTTATTTTTCATAACAGGAGAGCCAAAAGCCAAAGTAAGAACCATCAGAACAGTAACAAATGAGAAATAAAGTACAAGACTCATGTAGATCACTATTTATGTTGATTGAGTGTTTTATCTTAGATTTTATATATGGCTATTTGAGATGTAATGATTCACTGTTCTAATCTATCATTAAATTTTAAGCTTTGAATTTGATGCAAAGAATGCTACTATTTACTGTAGTGAATTATATCACGTTATTCACATGAATCAAGGTTTACAATTCTTGGAATGTAAGGATGTCAAGACTTCCTTGTAAGTCCGGGTTGTCACCTTTTTTTATTATAGAGTTGACAAGATAATTTGATTTAAATATAAGTATCATGTTTTTGATTTTTCTTAATTTAATACTGTAATACTCGGGCCCAAAATATTATCCGGGACAATTTTTTATTATTAAATTATTTTATTAAAATAATTATCTAATGTATTATATTTTTATTTTATTGAATTTTTTAGAAAAAAATGAATTAAGGATAAGATTGAAAATAATTTTGGAAAAAATTGATAAAAATTTGAGTTAAATGGATATTTTTGAAAAAAAAAAATTAGAAACAGCGGGTCGAAGTGCAAAAAAAAAAAAACGGGTCATGTGGGACGCCCAATCAGCAACCTCGATGAACTGGAGCACGCCATGTGTCAAAACACATTAACATCGGTGCCACGTGGGAGGCTATGTAGGCGATCTGCATGTCCAGCAATCTGACGGCCAAAACCGGTCAAAATCGGCCAAAATTGGCCAAAACTGGCTAGAACAAGGCAAATCGCCACCATAGGCGGCAGAGTCACCGCTTGAGCACGGTGGCGCCACCATGTCGGAACCTCAAAATTGTCCAGAATGAGTTTTGGACATCGATTTTAAATTTTTAGAGTATTTTTAGATGTGTGACGAGTGTTTCGAATTTTACAAAAAATTCAAGGAACCTGATACCCGTTAGGAGGTATAGTAGACAGTTCGACATCTCAAAACGTCGATTCAGGTAAGGATCCCTCAATCTATTCTCCGTTACAGTAAATTGAGGTTTAACAATGTATAATTTTTGTATTTTTGTGAAAATTAGAAAATCTTAAAAATAATTACAGGTTATTAATGAAGCCGAAACCGGTTAGTTCATAATTTTCTTAGTTCTTGTCATTTTTCTATATCATCCTACTTACTTGATTTTCGTATAGCATATGTTCTTAAATTATAGTTCAATGGTATTATCAACTTATCTGGTTATTTTATTTGTATATCGCCAGTATGAATGTAGTTTAATTGATCTGTGAATGTGATATGAGACATGAGTATGAGTTTGTTGATTATTTACTATGAGAATCTTTATGTGAAAGACTTACTGGGTACCCAATGAGAAGGCAGACGGGCCTGGTACATAAAGAACCCTAACAGGAACGTTACCTCAGTAGGACGGGGCTGAGAAGTCCCTTACCTAGAAGATTTGGGAGATATAGTTCACCCTCATACTGAACAGAATATCGAGGCGATGGAATGTTTGGTGCCCATTACCAGACGGGGTATGGAGACGACTGGTTAATTGTTAAAATTGGTTATTAGGTTTATGAGTAAGGAAGACACCTCTATAGACCCCCAATGATACTAATAAGTAGGAAAGTTATTGTTTCTTATTTTGTTATGTGTGAAAATAAAAAGTGATATAGATATGGGTCTTCATATATTATTTTGGAAAACTTGTTATGGTAAGTTCAGAATAAACGATCTTCTTTATATTAAATGAATTTACTCAAATTAGGTGCTCTATTAGTTGTTTTATAATTTTTACTAATTTTTAGTTTTTTATATCTGTGATTAGCGTGATATTTTTACTGTGCTAATATAGCTCACTCTTTCATTAATTATTTCAGATAAAGAGAACAGAGATCCAAATCCCGATCAGCAAAAGGATTGTGAGTAGTTCACTATCCAGACTCCCTTAAAGTGCTAGTGAAGATTGTCCTAGGATGTTTAGTTATTCGTTTTTCGTTTCATCTCTTTGATTTCCGTTTATCTTTTAGAAATGACATTCTTGTAGTCTTATTGGGCATTCAAAATTATTGTGTAAGGAATGTAAATCCAAATTCTATTAATCGTTTCCGCGTTAAATTTATGAATTTATTTTTCTTTAAGTTCTGGGTTTTTACAGTTGGTGTAACGCCATGATTTTTTTTTTATTTGCCTCAGCGGCATTACCACAACCTTGTCAGCATACGTAACATACATATATCATCCCACAAATAATTTCGGTCATACATATTGAAAATGTTCAAATTAAATCATGCAAATTTCTAAGGTTTCTCCATCATATATCCATA